GGCTGAGCTGACACATTGGGGGCTGAGCTGACACACTGGTGGCTGAGCTGACACACTGGCGGCTAAGCTGACACATTGGGGGCTGAGCTGACACACTGGTGGCTGAGCTGACACACTGGTGGCTGAGCTGACACACGGGTGGCTGAGCTGACACATTGGTGGCTGAGCTGACACACTGGTGGCTGAGCTGAAACGATTTGCTGTTTTTATGCGCACTCAAAAACCGGTGGACTGTGGACGGTCAGCAGAGCTTACCATGTTGTGGCGTGGCTAAGGGGGTGTGGACCGCACCACGTGACACCATCCCTAGCTACACCATTGCTACCCTGTACAGGCTTTTGTCATCGTTGAATCCTTATCAGACGTTACCAAACATTGAGATGGAGTTGCGCATTTAGCTGTGTCCAATGTCTCCGGGCAAGCGGAGCTGCTCACAGTTGGGAATAATCAAAAGAGAGTAGTGGTCCTCAGTTGGGCAGGAAGTGTTTAAAGCAAACTGACGCTTATGAGTATTGAGCATGAGTTGCTGCGCAGCCTCGAACTCACTGACCAATAGAAGAATTCGCCCTTGACACAGGGCCATCCATATCGTCTCTACGCATTAAGTGGACAGGAGTTGTTGATTTTTTAGCTTTTTTTTTTGGTTGTTTTTTTTTTTGTATGTGTACGTATGGCATTGAGTGGGGTCTCGACAGAAAGTACTAACATTTATTCAGAAATTCTGACAGTCCAAAAATAGCACATTTATATTTCGAATGCTTTAAGACAGGCCTGCACAACTCAAAATGTAAGGCGGGCCGCAATACTCTCTGAAAAACTTGTGCGGGACAAAAGAAAATAGGACAGGGGGGAAAGCTATTACGAAAATAATAAGAATAAAGATTATTACGTTACGTCGCGGGCCGCAAAGTGGGTGCTGGCGGGCCGCATGCGGCCCGCGGGCCGTATGTTGTACAGGCCTGCTTTAAGAATATATCACGCAATGTTTTTTTTAGGAATTATCGTAATAATGTTGCCTTGAGTTTTTACAAATGAACTCCCTAGATGGCGCTCAGTACTAGAAGTATTGCAGTAATGTTTAGTCCACCGAATGCTCAACTCGCATGTGACGTACATTTTGTTGGACTACGCCAGTGGTTCCTAAAATTGTTCGATTCCTGGCCCCTATGCTAAATTAAGATTTCCACCAGGCTCTCTGGGTGAAATTCGAACAAGTACACTTCGGAATAGCGAATACATAAGCAACATAAAATAA